GGGAAGGCAAGGGAGGAGAATTGGGACAACTTAAAAAATTTTTAAATGACATTTTTATTTCTTACCAATAACTTTATTGATTTGAATATTTGGAGTAGGTCAGCTATCTCCTGCTATTGGATTCTAGTGGATAGAGGCCAGGGATGCTGCTAAACATCTTCCAATGCATAACACAGCCCCACAGCAATGAATTATTTGGCCAAAATGTCAATAGTTCAAGAAACTTTGCAAACCACTTTTGATACGTTTGGTCAGTCACGGCACCTTCCCCATATACTGTACAATCTTTTTCCGCATTTCAGTTGTGTTTTTACCTTTCTTGAAATAATAAAGCACAATATGCCAAAAATGTTGCATGTCTTCCATCTTCAATATTAAAATGGCTGCACAAAATTCACCATTATTTTAATGCATGCTGACATGATTGCTGTCACAATACAATCTAACAAAATTGTTTCTAATGAAGTTAAAGACAACTGGAGCCATTGTCCAGAAAAAATTAAACAAATGTCTCAGCCAACCCAGTATGTTAGTGCCCACCAATGAAAAGAAAGTTATGCATAGAGGTATCATAAAACCATTTAAGATAATGAGAGGGTCTTTCTTTTTTTCACAATCAGCCTATTAATTTATCTGGCTCTCTTTTCCCAAAATGACATTTCATCCTTTTTGGAAGGGCAAGAAATTGTAAGTATAAAAAGTTAAGAATTATATTGCCCAGTGTTCTCCTGTTGCAAAACCCAGGGGTATGTGGTGGGAGGAGCAAACATCAGTTGTTCCTGATGACTACTGTTGAAGAAAATATCCCAAAATAATTTGTCTACTTCCCATAGGTAACTTTATTTGAAATGCTGTAAGTAAAGAACATGTACAGACCTTTTTTTCCTTCTGAAAATTGAACCCAACTTTCAGTTAGTAAAATAATGATGGGACAGCATTAAGATATATTTAAAGGAAGTGGGGAGAAATCCCTGACAGCAGAGTGATAATTAGCCATAAGGTTCAGCCAGGAACAATAGAGGGAAAAAGTGAGTAAGTGATTCAGGAGCATCTATCCTTAACATACTGACAGCCTATCCCAATATTTTCTGGGGTTTTTTTCCCATGGGAAATCAGAGTTTATTAGAGTAGAGGTTGGGGACCCAAGTCCTTTATGAAACTGAGGGCTGCACCTGGACACCTAGGCAGGAGCCCAGAGCAGCATCTCAGGGGCCCCAATATGGGGTATTCCATCAGCTGTTCAGACTCAGCTTCAGGTCACTCTCTTAGGTGGCTTTGCTCCACCTCTGCCACAGTCCTGAGCAGCCCTGTGAGGCCCCAGCTTGGCCCAGGCCCCCAGGGCCTGCCATTGGTCTTTAGAGGCCTCTGGTCACTGCCATGGTCCGGCTTCCACTGCTTTACTCACCGCTTCTTGCTTGGAGGCCCAGTGGGCCATTGCTGCTGGGCCTTTGGGAACATGTCTTCCTCAGGCTCTTTGCCCACTGCCTGGTGGAAATACTCAGCTTCATCCTCCTCCTCCTGCTGGCTGGCCACCTCAGCATTGCTATCATGCCCACCAAGTTCTTCCTGTGGGCATCTCGCCATTCCTCCTTACACTGGACATTCTGAGCTAGCTGGTCCTGCCTCTGGGCCTTGAGCCATAGTTCCTCCTCCTTGGCTGCCAGTATGGCCTGTAGTTTCTCCTCTGTGTTGTTCATGAAACTATGGAAAAGCATATTCCCCTCCCCAACACCCTCCTGGATCTCGATAAACTGCAGCATCATCCAAAGCCCAATCTCGGTAAGCCTCACAGTGCTCTGCTTGCCTGCATGTTGCCATGCCCCGCAAAAGCCTGGGGCAGCTCTGTGATGTTGTTCTCACCATCAGCTTCTGCCTTACTCTCTGACAGCACCACACCTGTGGCCAGCAGCTCACTGATGTCCTGCAGGCCACTCATGTTAGGAAACATCTCTTGGAGAAGCTTCTTCATTCCATGGCTTGCACCCACAGCCTAGATCCTAGGAGTCAGGGTTGTAGTTGATGAGAAGGCAGTGCTTCGTGATATGCAGATTCACCTGGTGTATGTTGATGGAGGGGAACAGGTTCTGGAACATAGTAGCCTTAAGCTTCATGTGCATGCCATGGGAGCCAAAGCTGTTGAGCACCAGGAGGCACCAGAAGGGTCGGTGAACTGCTTGCTCATGCACACAGCTGTGGCACAGGGAGGAGACCACATCATGAATCAGTGTGCACTTGTTGATCTGGAAGGTCAAAGTGGGGCTTAACCTAGATATTAGTCTCCATTTTGTTCAATATCAGGAAATGGGTGACCCTAAGAGGCCCAGCCACTGCCACACAATCCTTCAGATAATTTTTCTTTTGTATCTGCAGGTGGGTGCAGTGAGTGGTTCCATGACCTGCTATAGGTCTAGGCTGAGCTGCCAGACGCCATGACCCATGTGGTCATGAGAGAACACGAACAAATGCAGCTGATTGGCATAGGCCTGGAGTTTACGCTGCTGAACCTGGGCATGGGCTTCTGCTACTAGGACCACTTCAACTGCCACATGCTGCCATATGGTCCACCTATCCCAATATTTTCAGTTCTCTAAGTGTGCCAGAGATGTAAAAGGATACCAAATTTGCCATGGAATATGTCTATCTGTCTTACTGGTGTTTAAAAATAAGCTGGGGGCTTCTGGTCAAGATGGAAGGTAGGTAGACACACCTGGCCTCATTGCTCAATCATAAGGAACACAGCTAACTTAAAATGGAAAAACACCCAGAACTAGATGGCAGTATGACAACCAAAGATTTAAATAAGCTACATTCATCCAGATGAGTGGGATGAGGATGAGGAGTTGGGGCAGAGATCACTTGGTATGGCACTGTGGTGGATAAAAATCAGGGGGACACCTTGAAAGTGAGCAAGCCCAGTCTTAGGTCAGACCTCACAGCTCAGGGCTCCAGTGCTGGTAAAATAAAGCCCCACAACTTCTGGCTGTAAACCCAGCAGGAGTTGGAGCAATTGAAGAAACTTCTGATACCTATGCAAACCCACCCACCCTGAGAACCACAACCAGGACAGCAGCTGGAGGGGCACCAGTCATATATAGTAAGAGAATGAATTGACTGGAAGCAGGGCAAGGGCCAGGCAAACACCCAGAAGTCATCGAGCCAGCAGCAGCATTGTCCCCTCTTCAACCCCTCCCCCCACACAGAGCCACAGTTGCCCCATCCTGGTGAATACCAAAGATTCCACCTCATATGACTTAATAGGTGCACTAAAATGGAATCAAAGCAGCTCTACCTAGTACAGAGACACAGGGAATCTGACAAAATCAGGAGACAAATATGGCCCAAATGAAGGCACAGAACAAACCCCAGAAAAAGAACTAAGCAATGTAGAGATATACAACCTATTGGATGCAGAATTCAAAACACTGGTGATCAGAATGATCAAAGATCTCATTGAATATGGCAAAAGCATATGGGAAAAAATGAAGACTCTACTAAGGGAAATAAAAATACACAGAAAACCAACAGAGAAGAGAAGGAAGCTAGGATTCAAATCAATGATTTGGAACATAAGAAAGAAATAAACATTTAACTATAACAAAACAAACAAGAACTCAAAAAAACAAGGAGAGTTTAAGAAGACTCTGGGACATCTCCAAAAGGGCCAGCATCCAAATCAGGGATGCCAGAAGAAGAAGAAGAGCAAGAAATGGAAAACTTATTTGAAAAAATAGTGAAAGAAACCTTCCCTAATTTGGAAAAGGAAATAGACATATAAGTCCAGGAAGCACAGAGTCCCAAACAAGTTGGACCCAAATAGGTCCACACAAAGACACATCATAATTAAAATGCCAAAGATTAAACATAAAAAGAGACTCTTAAATGCAGCAAGAGAAAGGCAGAGTGTTAACTATAAAGGAGTTCCCATAAGACTATCAGCTGATTTCTCAAAAGAAACTTTTCCGGTTAGAAGGGACTGGCTAAAATGATACAAAGTGATGAAAAGCAAGGACTTACAAGATTACTCTACCCAGCAAAGCTATGATTTGGAATGGGAGGACAGATAAAGTGCTTCCCAGACAAGGTAATGCTAAAGGAGTTCATCATCACCAAGCCCTTATTATTGGAAATGTTAAAGGGACTTATCTAAGAAATAGATCAAAACTATGACCAGTAAAATGACATCAAACTCACAACTATCAACTGAATCTAAAAAAACAAAACAAAAACAAACTAAACAAACACCTAGAGCAGGAACAGAATCATAGATATGGAGATCATTTGGAGGGTTATCAGCTCGGAGGGGGAAGGGGGGAAATGGGAGAGGAGATGTAGGGATTTAGAGGCATAATGGGGTAAGTAAAAAATAGACAGGGGTAATGTTAAGAACAGTATAGGCAATGGAGAAGCCAATGGACTTAATGTACAACCCATAGACATGAACTAAGAGCAGGGGGAGATTGCTGGAGGGAAGGAGGCAACGGGGCAAGGGGGGCAAAAGGGAAAAAAATGGGACAAAAAATAAAGTGGGATGGAGGAAAATCAGTAGTTAAATCATAAGGCCTGAAAAAGCAAATGTACATAAAGTATAAGATCAGGACAAACTACTGAGCCTTTCCCGTGACAGCCACTAAACAAATCTCCTGGGGTCGGGTGGGGTGGGTTGGGGGATTCATTCCTAAGCCAAATTCATTAGCAATGAATGGATAATCATCTATAAAATTATTTCCTTCTACAACTTTAGTGACCACAGTCCTAGATTTTCCTGGACAGTTTGGTTTATTCCTATTGCCCCATATAATAACAATACCCTCTTTCACTCTGAAGTATCCCAGTTTGGACAATAGTTATCTAGGCATTCTACCCAACTGTACTGGTTACCACAAAACATTATTTGAGTCATCATTTTTTCCAAGAAAAGTTTCAGACATGAAAAACTTTCAGTTTTGAGGGGAAACATCAGGAACTGGTATAGAAGAAAGATGTTTCAAAGTACATAATACCTGACTACAATTTAGTTATCAGTAATGCTGTATGAGCCTCACAGCAAAACCAGGTCATAGAAGGGTTTTTATGAAGGCAGTGGAAATAAGGTTATCTGAGGAGAGCAAGGATTACTACACAAGGTAGGTGCTCTATAAACATTGTAATCCTCCTCCGTTTAGCATCTCAATTGTTTTTGCTGCCAAGAGCCAACCACCCTGAAAAAAGCCTGAGTGTTTCCATTTAGGAAATGCACCTCCACAAGAGCAGGTCTTGGTTGAAGCAGGTGTTCTTTGTTTGAGATCAACCAGAGAATCAAGTTCATAGAAAAACACCCCTCTGAAGCCTAATATAGTCTGAAAAATCAGTGGGTAATATATGCCATTGAGTTCTCAAAAAAATCTAAGATGAAACTAAATAAATCACCATCTCTGTCTGCAAAAATCTGGCTACCAATCTTCTTGAATTCCTGGCCTCACCATCTAATGTTCCTGTCCACCTAGAGGCAGGAAACTGCTTTATGGTACAAAATCTTATGATTTTCTTCCCACATTTAAAATGACCAGTTCCTGGCCACTCATTCTTCTTTTCAGACTAGAGTCTACAAACTATCGGCCACAGTCTTTAGGAACTTTTAAATCAAACTATAACCATAAGTGCTCCTAGCTATGCATGATTAATAGGTGGAAGGGAGAGGGAAATAAAGAGTCCTAAATTTCCAGGTAACTACTGTAAAGCAAATAGTATATCCTTAGTTGTATTTGAAATTTGAGTTGCTTGGGATCTTGCAGTATACAAAAAAATAATAAAAATTTTAAAAACATGAGAAACTGGATAGTTTAAGGAAAACTGCCAACATATCTAAGGATAGATGTCAAATATAGGGTCTGGGAGAAGTAAGGCCTGCTTGAGTGTGGTTGGTAGGGTAATAATATGGGTGTAATAATTTAGTTTTAATTTGAACATTTCACCTAAAATGTAGTGTGCTTGAGTGTGATTATTGTTACAGAATTACATGTTTATGATTTTGTAATAAAAAGGGGGCTTTTTTGACAGACCCTGTAGATCCCCTTCCTGTATTGCACACAAAACAAAATTCTCCATGAAAAGCTATGGTAAGTAAACCTGTATTTTTTTTTAAAAAGCTGGGAACAGCAAAGCACTCCCTCTCCCCAGACCTATCTACTATCTACTATAAGGTTTACAAAAAAGCAGTCATTTCGTATACCTTCAGCAATTTCAATCACGAATTATCAGTTAAGGATGAGACAGCCATTGCCTGTACTAGCTAGCAGCTTAACTTGACTCTTGTAACTAAACCGATTCTTCTGTACTTTAAATTTTGTTGCCATCTTTTTTTTCCTGTTCCCCTTGTAATATCTCCTGTCAACCAAATTAAAGGATGGGGATAAAGACAATTTGGACTTTCAAAGAAAACTCATGTTCCATGGCAGATATAAAGTATACTAGAGAGCAGTTCTAAGATAAGGTTACTTTTGTTTTCATCTGAATTCTAAACAAAGAAATTAAGTTTTTTTACTTCTTGGGGGATAGATCATTTTTAACTCATGTGAACATATAGGACAGCATTGTTTAGTGGTGACTTTGTACTTTATAGTAACCAATGGATTGTTTTATCTATTTTCAAATTAGTCTTATTACTCTTAAATTATTGATTTTTAAAGACAGTGAGAAACATCAAAGTGAGAAACACCGATCTGCTGCCTCCTATACACCCCAACTGGGGATCGACCACTCAACCTATGTATGTGCCCTGATGGAACCAGCAATGCTTTTTGGTATATGGGATGACACTCCATCCAATTGTATCACTGAATCACAGCTACTCTTAAATTCTTTAAGTGGGTAGTTGGTTGTACAGTTGCCATACTTTGGGATAACACATACTTAGCTATCAGTAAAAAGGAGGTGTTTGCATTTCCTGCTTTTGCCAAATTAGACTTCTTTAAAAAAAAATCCTATGCCTTTGCTTGTACAGCCACCTAACATTTCTATAGTTTATCACCAAATTCCTTTGTTGATAAATTTATAGTAAGGAGAAATAGGCAAGCTGAAATCCCCACCCTGTTAAAAATGTACACTTATGACAAGATTGACACTTGAGCAAAAATCAACCTTTGGTATATAAACCTGGAACTTCAATCCACCTGTTTTTCTTTTAAAAGAATGTTCACTCAAAAAAACAGTTGTTTCACAATAGTAATCTTTATTACATGCTTAACTGAATAATTACTATTACATTATCTCAGTACAATATTAAATCATGTGCTCTCACCCCTCCTCTTTTGACATAGCATAAATGCAATCAGTATTAAGGGGTAATATGCCTATTTCAAAAGTACTCTTTAAAAGGAAGGAGTGTTCAGGACTGTATTATTAAATTTCACTCTTACCTTTATGCTACCTAATTTGAATAACATATGTTAAGATATTATTTTTGAAAAGAAAACTTTGGGAGCTACTCTGTTCTTTAATAAATGCCTAACAAAAGAGAGAACTATGCACTTGAAACAGATTTTACAATAACTTATATTTGCACATAAATTCTGCCACATTATTCAGCACCACCCAAGTAAAATTCTTGAATCTTTCACTGAAAATGAAAAACCCACCCATCACCTGTTCCCAGTAAAAAACTGATTGTTCTACAAAATCAGGTGATTTAGTCAAATAGGAACTGAAGTGTGAAAGATGGTCTTTCCAGCTTGAGAATTCATCATATAAAGACCATTCTAGGAATATAGCATGACTGAAGAAAATGAGAAGGCCAAGCAGAATGACTACCAGAAATAACTTATAAAAACTCCAGGGAATCTTACTAATTAATGTGTCAGTGTCTTGAGGCAAAGAAAGTTTATCTACATCTGCTAGTTTTATGTCTTCCCACTGACTGGTATCAAAGTTTTTAATTAAAGGACCCGTGGGCAAATTAGAGGGAGGTAGAGGAGTTTCCTTGATTACTTTTATTTTCTCCCTGAACTCCTGCATCTGCTGCAGAAATATGATTGGTTCTGACACATCTTTAAAGGCCTCAGCAATGTTAAAGGCCATTCGCTGTTCCTGCAAGATGGTATTGAGTTTGTTAATTTCTGGGTCATAGGCTTGCATAACTGTAAGCTTCATGGTCTCAAAGTCAGACAAGATTTCATTCTTTTTTTGATCTAATGTGTGTTGTAATTTCTCAAAAAACTCCTTCACTTTATCTGATTCTTTAGTCAGTAACTGTAGAGATTTCCTTTTGTTAGTTTCCAGGGTATCCAAGCGAGAAAGAGCATCTCCCCGACGCCAGGTCTCAAAGCTCTGAAAGAGGGACTGAAAGGCGTCCCTTTCCTGAGCATAGGCATCTTCAATAGAACAGAAGGCATGTTTAGTGTGATCGCCACGGGTAGCACAGATCCCACAAATCAGCTGCATATCAGTCAAGCAGAAAATATTGAGAGGCTGCCCCAAGTGTCCTTTGCACATGGGCATTTTGGGAGAGATCTTGATCTTGTTATACTTCTCCACAATACCCTTCAAGGAGTAATTAACCTGCAGGCTATTGACTCCAGAAGCTGAAGTTTCCTTCCGGCAAGTGGGGCACTTGAATGGAGGTGATCTCCACAATGAATTCCGTACATTTCCCTCTAAAATCCCTTCTAAACATTTTTTGCAGAAGTTGTGCGAACAAGGCAAAACTCGAGGATCATCAAACAGACTGCAACAAATTGGGCATGTAAGATCTTCTTCAAGCAACTCCATCACATCCTACCATAGAGAAATAAACATTTCATTTTATTCTAGTAATCTTCCATTGCACTGTGTAGTAATTAGAAGAAACTATATTCATAGACCTTAAAAATGATCTTTCACTTAAACAAGGCAGACAAAGGGAATAAGTGAGAAATTTGGGAAGGGAATGCACACCAAAGCAGATTTAATCTGCTGAGGCTAGAACACGCTGCTTATTATTAGTAGGGCTCCCTGTACACAGGCCTTTGTGTGGACTTTCCAACAACAGTCTTTGGCTGAGACAGGGTTAGGACTAGGACAATTGCAAGTTGAGCCAGCAGCACCCAATTGATTGTTTTAAAATAGAGAGAGCTGACTACTAGCCGTCAGAGACAAAGCTACTCAGTGTCTGAAGAGAATAAGCTGTTTAGTCTGGGCCCACAATTATAAAATGTGGTATTTAAAAGAAACAGCACAGAAATATAAATCCAAACATGTACTTTCATGCAGACTTTTACATAAAAATGGCACTTTTCTATTTCAAAGGCAAAATTACAATTAACACCACAGGTAAAAAAATAATATGAGAAAGCTGCCATTCATTCTTCCTTAGAAAATTAAATGAGTTTTAAGCCACCAGGATAGTAGTCAAAGCCATCTTGTACTGTCTAGAGCATCAGTTTTCAAAACCTGGTAGGCAAAAACCTGGGTTTCCCTAAGAGTCTTTCAGGGCATCATTAGGTCAATACAATTTTCATAATATTGGGATGCTCCTTACTTTTGGCACCATGTTAACCATCTGCTCTGTGAAAGCAATGGTGAGCAGACACTGTTGGAGTGTCAGCAGGAATCACACAAGGCACTACATAGTACTAAAATGTACTATTAGTCCACATTTTTCAACACTGCATCAAACTGGGGATAGCTAGTTTCATTTACAAATGTTCTTATATATATACTTTTTTTAAAATTTATTCTTAGAGAGAGGGGAAGGCAGGGAGGAAGAAAGGCAGAGAAACATCAATGTGTGGTTGCCTGTTCTGCATCCCCTACTGGGGACCTGGCCCGCAATCCAGGCATATGCCCTGACTAGGAATCGAACCGGCGACCCTCTGTTTCACAGTCTGGCACTCAGTCCACTAAGTTCCACCATCCAGGGCAAGAATGTTCTTAATGAAGCAATAAGAATTATTCATTTTATTAAATATTGACCCCTGTGTCATAAAATAGAAAGTAAACACACATTTCTGCCACATACCAGAAGAAATTGCCAGAACAGAAAACACATGTGCCTGAGTTGCAGGCTGAAATGAACCACCTGCTTTTGTCATGGGACAGAAAGAATGAATAACTAAACTATGGCCATTCAGATTAGGTATCTGGCAGATATTTTCTTGAAAACAAAACAAAAAAAAAAGTAGCTCATCACTTCAAGAAAAAAATGACAGTATTTCTTGCCAATGCTAAAAGTTGAGTTTTTGAGTGAAAACAAGACTTTTGGAAAACATTGTTTGCCACTTAGGACATTGACAGCTTCCCATTAATCAAAGACTTTTCTAATGAGATAAGCAGTAATATTAATAAACGTGTGGGGTTTTTTTTGGGGGGGTTAGTATACAACAAAATACAAACAGATTTGGAGATCTACATATCACAGTGAACAAACTGGTTCAAATCACCAATGCATGTTATAAATCATGCATGGGTAAAAGATCAAAAGACAGATCAGTATGTTCAAAAATATGGAAAAGAGGAGGAGGGACTTCTGGCAAGATGGAGGCATAGGTGGACATACTGTACCTCCACGCACAACCAAGATTAGAACAACAATTTAGAGGCAGAATATCACCCAGAACTGACAGAGAATTTATCTGAATGGAAGTCGGACAGCCAAGAAGCTGAAGTAGACCCGTTCATCCAGATAGGTAGGAGGGGCGGAGAGGAGTAGCCGGGTGCGGGTTGCAGCACAGGTCACGGCACGGAAAGCAGTGGGTGCATAAGGCAACCGGGAGCACGTAAGGCATCCAGGGCGCACAGGATCGCAGTGGGTTGACCCTGAGTATGTGAGCGGCAGCTGGCAGACCCAGTGAGGCAGCGATTGTGGACCTGGACAGAGCATGCAGCCCAGGATCCCAGGGAAGGGACTGTGGTCCCAGGACAGCGGAGCTACTGCCATTGTTACCTCCCACCCCCGCCCCCACATGCAACGTCACAATCTAGTGACTGGGATGCCCAGCCCAGGTGAACACCTAAGGCTCTGCCCCTCACCGGAACAGGAGCCACCAGACCCCCCCCCCCGCCAAAAAAAGAGGGAGAGAGACATGTCTCAAACAGAAAAACAGATCAATGCCCCAGGGCTCATCCTTTTGAGCGACCAAGAGATAACCAATCTATCAGATGCACAGTTCAAAACACTGGTGATCAGGAAGCTCACAGAATTGGTTGATTTTGGGCACAAATTACATGAAAAAATGCAGGTTACCATAAAAGAGATGAAGGAAGATGCACGGAGAACCAATAGTGAAGGGAAGGAAACTGGGACTCAAAACAATAGAGTGGACCAGAAGGAAGAAAAAAACAACCAAACAGGAAAAGAATGAAGAAATAAGAATTCAAAAAAATGAGGAGAAGCTTAGGAACCTCCAGGACATCTTTAAACCTTCCAACATCCGAATTATAGGGGTACCAGAAGGGGAAGAGGAAAAGCAACAGATTGAACATGTATTTGAACAAATAATAAAGGAGAACTTCCCCATTCTGGCAAAGGAAATAGACTTCCAGGAAATCCAGGAAGCTCAGAGAGCCCCAAAGAAGTTGGACCCAAGAAGAAACACACCAAGGCACATCATAATTACATTAGCCAAGGTAAAAATGAAGGAGAGAATTCTAGAAGAAGCAAGAGATAAGGGGACAGTAACCTACAAAGGAGTTCCCATCAGACTGTCAGCTGATTTCTCAAGACCTCGTAGGCAAGAAGGGGCTGTAAAGAAGTATTCTGAGTCATGAAAGAAAAGGACCTATATCCCAGATTACTCTATCCAGCAAAGCTTTCATTTAGAATAGAAGGGCAGATAAAGTGCTTCTCAGATAAGGTCAAGTTAAAGGAGTTCATCATCAACAAGCCCTTATTTTATGAAATGTTAAAGGGACTTATCTAAGAAAAGAAGATAAAGAAAAAACATCTATAGTAAAAGGACAGCAAACTCATAATTATTAACAACCACACCTAAAGCAAAACCAAAAGAAACTAAGCAAACAACTAGAACAGGAACAGAACCACAGAAATGGAGATCACATGGAGGGTTAGCAACAGGGGAATGGGAGGAGGAGAGAGGGGGGAAAGGTGCAGAGAATAAGTAGCATAGATTGTAGGTTGAAAATAGGGGGAGGGTAAGAATAGTATGGGAAATGTAGAAGCTAAAGAACTTATGACATATGGACATGACTAGAGGGGGGATATAGGTGGGAGAAGGTGTACAGGGTGGAGGGGAGTGAAGCGGGGAAAATGGGACAACTGTAATAGCATAATCAATAAAATATATTTTAAAAAATATGACTTCAGGTTCTATACTTCAACTATCTTTAAACTTCAGTATAATATCAAAGATGATCCAGTATTAGAAAAGGCTATTAAAATATTCCTCCCCTCACCCTCTACACATCTGTGCAAAGTCAAATTTGATTTTCTTGGTGTATTTCAGCCAAAATAACTAACTGCAACAGGTGAAAGCAGAGGCAGATAAAGACTCCAGGTGTTTTCCATTAAACAGCAATTCATTAAGGAGATCTATTTGTAAAACAATGCCACTCTTCCCACTGTTTTAAAAAAGTTATTTTTTAGAAATTACTTGTTAACATATAATAGGTTTGTCCTTGTTATTTTAAATTAGTATCTTAAAATTTTTCTCAATTTTCATTTAAAATACATTAAATACTACTATACTGTACACATGTAAACAAAAGTTCTTGGGATCCCCAGTTTTTAAGAATGTAATGGGGTCTGAGACCAAAATATTTGAGATCGCTGATTTAAAGAATACCAGTTCTCAGTATGAGTTTATTATTTTTAAATATACATTTTAAAACTCCTATCTTTAAGTTTTAAAACCAAAATAGTGCTGAACGTCCTCATTCAGTTTTACTTAGGAATATACGTATACACATATATCATGTTATCACTAAAGTAATAAAATATAGGGTCTAATAATATGTAGTCCATCTTATAATACAAAATAAGTAAATAATTTTAACAGTAAGTTTAAGAGTTACAATTAGAGCTACATCTAGAAGATAAATAGTATTTAAAAAATAAGCTGAGCTTGTAGGACTAATTAGTTTATAGTTCTAAATTAAATTGTGAGAGATACAGGATATAGATATATATAATTCAAGATTATTCTGTCAAATTTAGTGTCATATGGCAAATGTGTGATGAGCTGATTTTTCTAAAAATTGTTTGTGACATTAAGTAATCATACAACCTTTGAAAAACATTGGGAAGAGAATGGCTATGAAGACTGGTATGCTAAAAGAAACTATCAAGTAGCTGTAAAACACTGCCTCTCTAGAACAGAGAAGGAATACTTTTGAATAGCCTCCAATTCTAGTCTTGTTCCACACTTTATCACTTCCACTGGTATCAACTTTTACCTAAGAATTCTATGCAAAGGCTAGATTCTGGAGTAGGCAATAAAAATAGAAAAGTAGTGAGGGCAGCATTCAATAAAGCAAACCTAATTTACTTATCCTTGCAAAACATAGTAAATAAATAGTGAGTAAGTAAGTAAATAAATAAATAAACAAATAAAACAAAGGATGCATGGTTGGGATAAGGAGAAAAAGGGCACCCAAGGGAAAGAGAAACTTTGAAGAAAACTGAGGATACTGCAAGAGGAGCCAAAAAGAATTTTAACCCAATCAAGTATGATCAAAAGTAAAGAGGAAAAATGTCACACACAGGAAAATTTAGAACAGTCATCCCAAAGCCATAATCAACTTACAGCTCTTAAAATGAACCACAGAGAAAAAATTACTAT